AAAGAGTGTTAGCCCTTGCTCGAGAAAGATTCTTTTGGCTTAATATGAGGAAAGATATCGAACATTTCGTACAGCGGACATGCCGATGCATAAAGCAAAAACAACCAAGTCGTCACACCGTGGCACCCTTACACCCGATCGTTACAACAGCGCCCTTTCAGATGATATCAATCGATTTTATGCACCTAGAACAGAGTTCAGGCGGATACCAATACATACTCGTAGTGGTTGATCGTTTCACCAAATTCGCCCAAACATCCACTACCAGAAATAAAAAGGGAAAAACTGTCGCAGATATTATCTTTAATGATTTTGTCCAGCGGTTCGGATCTCCGGAAAAAATACACCACGACATGGGCGGAGAATTTGAGAATGAGTTATTCAAACGTCTGGAACAGTTGTCTGGAGTGATGCATTCACGAACAACTCCTTATCACCCCCAAGGAAACGGATTGGTCGAAAGGATGAATCGAACACTACTACAGATGCTTCGAACTCTCCCCGAAGCTTACAAGTCTCGATGGAAAGACCACCTCAGCAAACTGACACACGCATACAACTGCACAGTCCATAAATCGACAAACTACTCCCCGTTTTATTTGCTCTTTGGATGTAGCCCAAGATTACCGATCGATTTGATATTTGACTTACCACGAACATCCGATACGACATCGCACTCGGACTATGCATCAAAATGGAAGACTGCTATGCAACAAGCCTACACAGTCGCACACAAGGCGACTTCAAAGAATGCGGCGAAGGGTAAGAAGAATTACGATCGACGAGGTTCAAGTCTTGAACCGGGAGATCGCGTGCTGGTACGCAACCTCACGTCTAGAGGAGGTCCAGCTAAACTTAGATCATATTGGGAGGAAGTTGTACATGTTGTTGAATCGCGCAAAGGTTCGGACAGTCCAGTATATGAAGTGAAGCCAAAGTCAGGTCATGGTCGAAACCGCACACTTCACCGTAATCTCCTATCACCATGTGATTTCCTTCCGGTTGAAAATTGGCCAGAAATCGAGCGGACAGTTATTAAAAGAGTTCCCCCCCAGAAGTCCCATCTCAAAACCCGGCAACGAAGAAACAGACGAAGAAGAGAGCGTAGATGAAAGTGAAGACGAAATTCGCATTACTTGGAACACTGACCAAGTTAATAATGCTGCAGCCGCAGATTTCGTTGGTGAACCGAGCACAGACATCGCCGTAAATGAAGCAGATGGTCGCGACGCTACAGACGAGCCTCGTGCTGATGATGAAAACCAGGAAATAACTGGAGATGAACAGGCTATAGAAAACTCTACAGACGATGAACAAGAAGAAGTACGTGATGTGCGTTCGCAACGAAACAGGCAACCGCCCCAGAGATTAACTTACCTCGACCCAGGGAACCCAGCTTACCTTAGACCAATCTGCAGCGAAGTCGCCAATCGATATTACCCCATGTCACCACACTTACCACCTATGCCACCATACCTACCACCTATAGCACCATATCTACCACCACCTATACCACCATACCTACCACCACCTATGACACCATACCTACCGCCTATGCCACTCCTAGTACCTACTCCAAGCGAAGTACAACCCTTTGGATCAGTACCTCTAAAGTGGCTTCCTATACCTTGTCACCCGTATACGTGTTCCCCTGTGATGCCTCCGAACTGGCAAAACCCACCTTTCCCCTACCCTACCCAATCCAGTCATATTAAACTTATACCTTAGTTATTGAGTTAGAACGTTGTTAAAAGAAACCCTATAAAACGGTGTTACTTAGCGAAGCAAGATTCTTTGCTGAATATTAATCAGGATGGTTACTGAAGGACGGTAGTGAGATATTGCGAGATGGAGTCGATCACCCCACTCTAGGAATCGTTCAAGATCCCGAACACGAAATAGCTACTTGCATGAGCATAAGAATTATCCTGTATTAATTTGTTGAAATAGCGATTTCATTTAGAGGGGGAGAGTGTACCCCACCGGAATTAGCACCCGGAACATAGATACCGGAACTTGTTATAGTATGACGTAACGGGAAAATGCCCGGATATTGAACACATGTTGTCTTATTTAGTTTTTGAGAGTTATCGAAAAAGCGTTGTAAAATACGAGGAAAACGTACGAAATAAATATAAGTAATACACCGAACCCGTGTGGAAACTTAAGTAACAAAAGCAAACGAAAACAGGAGAAGATGACGGAACAATATATTAATTTTATAACTCAGAACAGTGTCCCTATTGGCGATGACATTGCAAGAAATAATCAATGCAACTGACGCAGATGCAGCACTAACAGCACTCCATGATGCAATTAAAACAAACAAATGGGATTCCCCAATTGTAAAACCGTTCAAAGCCGTAAAAAAACGAACTTATAACGTATACCACACACGGTGTTATACAGGGTGTTATACTTCGAGGAACACGGATTGTCATTCCCGCGGCTCTACAACAACGTGCAATAGATATAGCACATGAGACACACTTAGGAATAGAGAAAACTAAATATCTAATTCGTGAAAATATCTGGTTTCCGCAAATTGACAACCAAGTCAAAAACACAATTGCTAAGTGCACCACTTGTCAAGCTGTCGGACAGGCGAATCCTCCAGAACCATTACGTAAGACCGATATGCCAGAGTTACCATGGAGAACTGTCCACATAGATTTTTATGGTCCACTACCATCGTCTGAATATCTTTTAGTGGCGGTAAATAGATACTCCAGATTCCCAGAAGTTGAGATCGTTCATTCAAAAAACGCGCAGGACAATCAGCTATCCATCCGTAATGAAAACAATGTAGTACCAAGAAGATCAAGCCGAATTAGAAGACCACCCAATCGATACGGACATGAATATCCATCAAATCTAATAAACTAACATAACAGTGAAACAGCTAAATAACTTCAAATTTAAACACTTTGATATTTGATAATCAAGTTAAAACAAAGGGAATGGTATAGTAATGTACGTCCATTAATCATTAACGCACGTATTACGATTAGTTTATATTTAGAATATTGACATTATATATTCAGTTGTTTACATGTAGCCGAGATATCAAGAACGACAAGAAGTCTACTAAATATCTGAACATTATAATTACCTTCGTATAGGCGGGAATTTGACGATTTATTCCGCCCGGTGGGGCATTTGACCACGTGACAACAACTTGCTCAGCGGTTGTCCTTAAAAATATGTGTACACAGAAAATGGAGGACAACTTTGCACCACACCAGTGAACTCAATATATTTTACATTTGCACTTCGCTATGTTTTCACATACCCGGGTATAATTAGCCGTGCGGAATTAGTACCCTCGCCCCGGGCTTACGGCCGGAACGGCGCTCCGCTGGCTCGGGGATAAAGGGACAAAGGCCTAATTCCACGACTAGCGAAATATTTCGCGCGAAAACACACCTGTGCGAAAATATTCTCGTAGTGATTTCCACAGTAGAGAAAAAAATCGCCAAAACACAAGCATTTGATTGGTTTCGCTATTTTGTCATCCATAACACAAGCATTTGATTGGTTTCGCTATTTCCATTTCGGAACGGAGTAGAAACCAATTCAACTACCCGGCGAAGAGAAATATTTCGCTGAGAAACATTCCAAAATCATGTTGCGCATGCGTTCAACCTTTTCGCGCGAAATTTTTCGCATTTCGCTCGTCGTGGAATTAGGCCTTAAGGTCCTTACTTCCCTTCGTTATTGTAGGGATAAAATTTTGATTATTTGAGGTGATTTCTCGTGGCGGCTAAGTTAAAAATTAGAAACTTACTATATACAAATAAAAATTGGCGATCTAGATTAATTTCGTTGTTATCACAGGCTCTTCAGTAATACACCATATTGCGGTCTAACCAGAGGCATAGCCGGGATTTTCGGTCAGAGGGGGCCGGCAAAAACCCAGGTGGGGCCAAGCCGCCAGTGACTCGAGACGCAAAGTTCGCGCAAGAAAAAATTTTGCGCACCACACAACATTTTAAATTTCCCCTCTCCCCCTCCCCCGTCGACAACTTTAACTTTTTCTGTAAAAAAAAATTCTGGACAATAGCATTACAATTGCTTTCGTAGCACTTTTCCAGATTTCCGTATCACTTCTTCCGATGCTTCACCACGAAGATTCCGGCAACATTAAAGAGTTTGAGCAAGAGAACGAAGTCGGACGACGACGACGTGGACCGTGGTTGGAAATTTTTGCCTGCCTTGCACATTATCTTACGCATTCTGAGTTTAGGGTCAGGCGTGAAGACAGATTAGAGATTTATGTCCAGCTGTTTATGAATGCTGACCCAAATCCTTACCCTAAAAATTCACTTGTAAAAAACCAGAGTGTTTAACTTCATCTAACCCTCATTTAATACATATTGAAATAATTAGAGTTAGAAAAGGTATGAGTTTCAAGCTGTGTGCCGCAAATAAGCGAACAAGATTTTAGAACACCGATGCCCAGCAAAGCATATATTCTACAGAATTTTTGCATTATTGACAGCATGAAGCTATATAATCAAGGATTCCCTTTTTTATACAATACATTTTATCAGGGGGGTCCCCAAAATTTTGCCAGGGGGGGCGGGCCCTCCGGCCCTAGCCCTGGCTACGCCTCTGGGTCTAACTAAGCTGCGGTCCAAATTGTACTAGGGAGCCTTTTTTAGATCTACTGTATGAAGGCCTTACATTTAGAAACATTAAAAATCATGTTACAACCCACGCCCCACTTATAAAGGCGATCAAAGTTTTTTTGGAGAAGTGTTCGTGACCCGGGGGATCCAAGAGATCCACATAGTTTAGAGTCATCTATGAAAAGGGACAATAGGGCCATTTATACGTGACAAAATAAGTCGCGACTTACATATAAGACGCGACTTAAATAAGTGGAGTTATCGCATAAATGGTTCTCTACGGCTTTGGTCTTATTTATTTGCTATAGCTATGTTGTTTTGGTTGTTTTTGTTTTAATATGCAAGGCATTAAATTTTACGTTGTTTCAAGTTTCTGGCATGTGTAGTTAGACTTTTTGTCCAAAATTTCTTATTTAAGAGGCGACTTAAATAAGAACAGCTAAAAGACCTGTTCTTATGTAAGACGCGTCTTATCCAAGACGCATCTTACATAAGAATTTTGTACCTTTTATACCACAAACTCGCGTCTTACTGAAGTCGCGTCTTATGTAAGTCGCGTCTTATTTTGTTCCGTATAAATGGTGTGTTCGTGTAAGTCATTCGCAAGAACAATGAACAAAAGGAATCCTTGTATGGTACTTCCGAGGTGACTAATGAGTAATGACCAGTCGATCAGCATAAGCACCCGTAAATCTACCCATTGATATCTATCAATGGGTAGTTTTTATTAACAAATGATGTTGAACCTTAGGGGCGGACCATTA